GATTTATGTAAATTATGTATTGGCTGATTTATGTAAATTATGTATTGGCTGATTTATGTAAATTATGTATTGGCTGATTTATGTAAATTATGTATTGGCTGATTTATGTAAATTATGTATTGGCTGATTCATGTAAATTATCTATTGGCTGATTTATGTAAATTATGTATTGGCTGATTTATGTAAATTATGTATTGGCTGATTTATGTAAATTATGTATTGGCTGATTTATGTAAATTATGTATTGGCTGATTCATGTAAATTATCTATTGGCTGATTTATGTAAATTATGTATTGGCTGATTTATGTAAATCTCATGATATACTCAGTATCTCAGAACACTATTGTACCAGGTTTCATTTACATCTGTTGATTGGTTCTTGAGAAATTATGCAAATTATGCAAATCTGAAAATTAATGTGAACAGATTTCAATTTGAAATATTTTAGGTTTGTGCAATATATGAAAACATCTTTGTACCAAGTGTCGCTGACATTTGATGAGTAACACTGGAGACACTCGTGAAACAACTAAAAATTTGCTAATAAGATCATTAGTATGCACAAAATCCAATCCTAAAATTTGTTATGGTTTATGTATCATTGAAAGTTTCATTGAAATCTGAGGATTGAATTTATAGATATCTACATGAACAGCTAAAAATTGGTTAATTATGTAAATTAGGTCACTTTTGAGCTAAACACCATGCATTCCAAAGAAAAGGGTTCATCAAACAATGTAATGGAATGACCAGTGGGATATACTGTAAAATGACTAATTTTCACTGGGTTTAAATTTCACTGATTTACCATTTCAGGCATATTCAGTAGGTTTTAAATTCACGGTTTCGTCATTTAGATAATGTGTTCTATGCTAAATTGTACATATTCACTGTGTTTTAATTTAGCGCATTTTTCCAGTCAGCGAAATAAGCTAAATTAAAACCCAGTGAATAATTACCCCCTTTACAGTAATTTGCATCTGATCTGGGGGGGGGGGGAATAATGTTCAATCGACCCATTATCGACTAAATTTTAATGAAATATGTTCATACATGGCCGCAATCCATTTCTGGAATGGCAAAAATGCTTGAATTCAATTGGCCACCAATCGGCTATCAAAATTAGATTGTGATTGTATGATATAATGTGTAATATATGTGTGAAGTTTGAATAATGCACCATGCAGGCATATCTGAAATACAGGTGCAGTCGTTTGCACACATGGAAACATAAACAACGACATGCACAAACAGACATATGCAGGTGAAATTATAAGTCTGAACAAGTTCTAACAACTACAGTCATCGATTACTTACCAAGGCAAACTTGTTGACTTGTACATACAATATCTCAGTGTCTTTCTTAGTGACATATTTATTAATTCCTCTCATTGTGTACCAGTCTGAGAGATATTTATGCAGCCATTTTAACTGATATTCCTTTTCAGGATATCTATTGTAATCTAATGCAGTCCACACTCCTATAAAATAAACATATCTTAATTAATTAATTAATTAATTAATCTATTAATTATGTTTTTCATACTTCAACTAAACATAGACTTAATTAATTCAGATATTAATATCTTCCTGCATCTGATGTTTCTTTACGATATCTGCATGGATGTTTTCTTTATTTTTCCAGACACATATTTAATGACTGCATTTTAGTCAGCATTACTTACCTGCATATTCATTGAAATGATTAGCAATGTCAAAAGCTTGGTAGTTAAATGCTCCATATTCATAATCTATAAATGATATCATATCTGAAAAACACACAAAGATTACAACAATTGATGTGCAATCAAGTAACATTAGTTTATTTTACTCAATATTTCATTTACATATTTACTTCATTTTGATATGGAAAAAACAGTATATTAATTTCTAACTTGAGCTCCAAACACTTATTAAAAGAAATCTCATTACATTAAGGTAGCGAGAAGGGAAATTTTCACTTTTTTCTTGATTTTTCAAAAATTGATAAAACGGTTACTTTAGACCTTGATACATCACCCCAGGTTTACAAAAGATCGAAATTGCGAAATAACGTTGCTCAAATTAGTGTTTTAAAACACTAGCAGAAAAGACTACAATGCAGTTTCGTGGATATTTGCATAGTGTTTATCTTTGTAAGGAATTAAATGATAACATCTTATCTGTATACTCTGTTGTTGACGATTCTGATATAACGGGTGATAAGCTTCCAGTTGCAAACAATGCGTGTTTATCTAACGTCCATTGTCAGCATGATTGTCAGTTGAGACTTCGTCGGAGAAATATGGTTATACAGTACTCATTTCGCCCAACCTTCCGCTTTTACATTGACCGCTTATCGCTTAATTTCCGACCACGCGGTCTTGTCCGACCGGAAACCGACTGCATTTTAATCGCGTTTTTTTTTCGCTCGCTCGCTCATTGAAAACATTGACTGTTACTGACGCGCTCGCGAGACTGCGTAGTTGAACAAGGTGATGGATCCCTACGGGTCTCTGCGTTCACGTGGCTAAGTTTCTAATAATACCACAAGCTCCGGTTTATGGCCTTTACTACCAGTGCAACGGACATGATCTCCATGAATTACGGTCAATGTTTGTCTTCTCTCGGCTGATTGTCACGGTGTTGATCGACGCCCTTCCTAAACTCAGTATGGAGAAACCAACGGGGATCGACATTCCAAACAAACAATCGAAATTATCAACGAAAAACGAGATTTTTCTAGATATTTACAAACATACTGTCATGACAAACATATGTAAAATTAACAAATACACAAAGAGGTGTAATATTAGGTTTTATTTTAGGCTTAGAAATATTTTCTTTCACTCAGCCCATGCATGTAACTGCCATTTAGCTTTACGGTCCTTCAGCATCGGGGGAAAACAACAATAATTATACAAAACACATTGCGAAGACTCAACAATCAGGAAAGAAACCCCAGACAACCCTGTCGTACTTGTGTTGAACTACATTTTGTATTTCACGTCAGAATATTGTTTAAAATAAAATATTCAGTCCAAGCCAAATCGAGTTCAAAGGGTCAGGTTGCGTGCATATAATTATATATAGTTAAAACAAAAAGTATTTGAACTTTTGTCAGCTGTTCAACATCTATAAAAACCAGAAAGACAATTATAAGACAATGTGAACCTCTGAAATTATTCTGTTAGTCCGAATTTTAAATGCGCGCGAGCGAGCAGGTGGGCGGTGATATTTCGGGGTTTGAGC